ATCCCATGATTTATTTGTTTCTAGACATGTGATTTTCTTTGAGAAACACTTTCCTTTCAAAAGTAATATTTCCCAACCCAAACCTCCTGACCCTAACCCACCAGCTATGACATATGACATAGACCATACTGTACCTCCTGCTGTGGACAACATTCCTGTCACTTATGCATCATCTGTCCCAGTCCCTAATGACAGCTCTACAGCCAATGGCAGTTCCACACCTCTCTTGGACTTGTCCACTTCACACCCTTTTGCTACATCAGCAGCTCCAACCATTCCTACCCTCATATCATCGACCATGATCCTCAAACTAGTTTATCTCCACAACCTTTTTCACCTCCTTCAAATAATACTCCCTTTGAACATGTGCCCCCTACAAGAAAATCTATTAGAACCCGAAACCCCCCACAATACCTTAAAGACTTCCATTGTAATATCCTTACTACATCTGGTACACATGAGACATCACCTATCCACCACACCACACCTTATCCTATTTCTAAAACTCTATCATATGATAGATGTTCTCCCTCTTACAAATCTTTTTGTTGCTCTGTCTCTTCCACTGTTGAACCAAAAACATACCTTCAAGCATCCAAACATGATTGTTGGAGACAAGCAATGGATTATGAAATTAAAGCTCTTCAGGACACTCAAACATGGACTATTGTGGATCTTCCTTTAGGCAAAACTCCAGTTAGTTGCAAATGGGTATACAAAGTAAAATACCATGCCAATGGATCTATTGAACGTTACAAAGCTCGCTTGGTTGCCAAGGGTTATACTCAATTGGAAGGTGTAGATTATTTTGACACCTATTCTCCTGTTGCTAAAATAACTACTGTTCGAGTTCTCTTGTCCCTTGCAGCCATAAAACATTGGCATCTAGAGCAATTAGACGTTAACAACGCCTTTCTCCATGGTGATTTACAAGAGGGAGTTTATATGTCTCCTCCTCCTGGCTATGATACTTTTGGATCTAATAAAGTTTTCAGGCTCAACAAATCTTTGTATGGACTAAAGCAGGCTAGTAGACAGTGGCATGCCAAATTATCCTCAGTCCTTTGTTCTTTGGGTTTCTCTCAGTCCGAGGCAGATCATTCATTGTATACCAAGCAAACAAATCACAGTTTTACCGCTCTTTTGATTTATGTTGACGATATTGTGTTGACATGTGATTCTCCTTCAAAAATTGAATTTGTCAAGTCTTGTTTGCATCAGAAATTTCGCATCAAGAATCTTGGAAATCTACGATATTTTCTTGGCCTGGAAATAGCACGATCAACATCTGGTATAATCCTTAATCAAAGGAAATATGTGCTTGAACTTCTTGAAGATACATGCCTGCTTGGTGCCAAATCTGTCTCAACGACCATTGATCCACACTTGAAGCTATCTTCCACTGATGGTGAATCCTTGGAAGATCCCTCCTCATACCACAAGCTCGTAGGACGATTATTATATTTGACAAATACACAGCCTGATGTTTCTTTTGCAGTGCAGCACCTCAGCCAATATGTGCCCAACCCGTTGAAACCTCATTACCAAGTTGCTCTTCGTGTTCTACGATACTTGAAAGGGCGTCCAGCACATGGAATATTTTTCTCCAGCACTAGCCCCTTAAAAATTCATGGTTTTGTGGACTCCGATTGGGCACGCTGTCTGGATACTAGGAAATCTGTGACAGGGTTTTGTGTTTTGTTAGGTAATTCTCCCATTTCATGGCGCTCTAAGAAGCAGGATACTGTTTCCCGTTCTTCCACTGAAGCGGAGTATCGTGCTCTTGCATCTTTGACATGTGAGGTTCAATGGCTTTCTTACCTCTTTGCTGATTTTCAAATTACATTTCCTACTCCTGCATCCGTATACTATGATAGCAAATCTGCTATCTATTTGGCACATAATCCTACATTTCACGAGTGCAGCAAACACATTGAGCTGGATTGCCACGTTATTCGCGAAAAGTTGCACTCCAAACTTATTCATCTCCTTCCAGTTCCTTCGGAATCCCAGCTAGCGGACGTTTTTACCAAGCCACTTCATGCGCCACTTTTTAATTCCTTCATGTCCAAGTTGGGTTTATGCAGCATACATACTCCAACTTGTGGGGAGGTATCAACATAAAAATAATGGCGTTAGTTTTTCAGTTATATTTTAGTTAATGTCAGTTGTGATAAGTTAGTGATTTTCCTCTTTTGCCCTTGTATTCTTTTAGTATATATGGCTGTACAACATTGGTTCAGTAACAGAATAATGAGAAATTCTGCAATTACTAATCCTTTTTCTTCTTCAATGAACAATTTCTCTATTATCAACAATATTTCATAAAGAATAATGTACATATCTTTAATATCCTTGCACATAAAAACATATATTTTTCTATTATTAAAATATTCATTTTATACACCACATCATTTATCTCTTAACATTCTTCTAATAATATAGTTCAAATAAAATAAAAATAATCTGTCTTTTTTCTCAATCTAAAACTTATAAAATACATATTATCATCATTAAAAAAATAGAGCTTGAGTATTTGATTCTTAGATGTAATAGTAATTTGAGCTATATTGGCCTAGATAGTAAATAAATAGTCTTTTACCTTACTACGAAAACAAATGAATAATCAAGACGTGTGTATAAAGTAAGAAATAAAAAAAAACCATCATACAATTTTAAAGAGTATTAAAAATGTAAAGATTTGAAACTAAACTCACATATTGTTATTTATACTCACAATAAATAAAAGCGTGTAGAACATTAAACATTAATAAAATTATAACAGAAAGTTGTATTATTCAAGGTCATATAGAACTCCCTTAACCATGTTTAAGTCTCCAATATCCAACTTTGATAGATGAAAAGTGTTTTCTGAATAGAAAACTAGAATAATAGTGATTTTCAATATTTATATCTTTCGTTTCACATCAATATTTTCATGACTGATAATCATCTTCTCAATTAAATTCACTTAAAAAATGAACTCAATCACATCTAATCAACAAAAATATACAATGTGTTATACATGAAAATATAATTGAATATGAGATTCAATAATAAAATAAACTTACTTACAAAAAATTGCAAGAAAAAAAAAAACTCATTGAAGTTGTCATGGTGAAAATCATAAAAAACGATGAATTTGTAAAATGTGTAGCAAATGTATCGAGTAAATAATAATGTTAGATTATGTGCAGTTTTATAGGTGTGGAGAAATTTAAAAGAACATAATATTTTATGAGAGTGTTAAAATTACTAAAATGAGGAGTTTTATGAAATGGACAATTTAATGAATACTTAAAAAAATCATTAAAAAGTAATAGTCAGTTTAGAAATAAAAGAGATATGTTTATTTCACTTAATATACTTATCGTATATTGTTAAGTGAGAGATATTTTCTTGATATTGTATATATCAACATAAGTTTCACATTATAATATTAAATTTAACTATGAAAATTTTAATATAAGCATATTATAAATAAATAAATATATAAGAGTTTTTATATAATATTTTTTATTTTTATTTTTTTCTTCATATTTTTTAATTATGGAAAGAAAAATAATTGGACTCATAATAGAATCTCATTTTTTTAAAAATTTTAACTAAAATAAATAATAAATAATTGAAAATTTTGAGAAATGATTTGGAATTTATGTTGTTTATTAAATAAATTAAATAAATTATTATTGTAATGATCAAATTTAATTCATAATAGTTTTGTTTCAAAATTAATTATTAATTATAATGATTTTAATCAGTTACATATAAATTTTTTTTTTAAATATAGTAGTGAAAATTTAAGAGGTCATGGGTGTTATGACTATTATTAGAAATTTTATATTCTATAACTATATTTTTTATAATTTAATATTTTATTTTTATGCATCATTATTATTAATAGTGGTGATTGAATATCATATATTTATTATTATTTATATTTAATATAGGGTCAAATTAGTAAATAATAGAATAAATTGAAGGATTATTAATAAAGTAAAATATAAAATATTAACTCATAAAAAATTTTAGTTTAATATTTAAATTTCAATTAAATTAATTTATGAGGATTGTGTGTGCGTGCGCGTGCGTGTGTGTTTTTTTTCTTTTCCAGATTTTAATTATCTAATTATTTAATTGGTTGTTTTAATATAGGAATATTTTTTGGATTGTCTAATAATTTTAAAAGTTTAATTACATGTAATTTAAATATAGTATAAGAATATTGTTAGAAAAAAATAATATAAAATTGAAAAATCTAATATAATACCCCCATCAACATTGGGTTTATGGTTGTGTCTTAGGTTGTCATCATGACAATCTTGAATTTAAATCAAGTAGTAGATAGATATATTTATTTCTAGTTAATGAATTCCAAAAACCAATAAGTTATCACATATATTAAATTATGCTTTTAATTTCAAAGATAAACTTCACATGACTCAATAATATGCATTCATATCCTTCAATCTTTTGATAAATTGTTTCCAATAAATAATTGTCCAACTAAATATATAAAATTTGTTCTAAAAAAATATGAAATAATAATACACATTTAAGAAGAAAAAAAACAGACATGTACAAAAAAAAACCATAAAGCTATGATTTATTTTTCAAAATAAAAATAAAATGTGTGATGCAAGTTTTGTATTAGAAAGAAATGACAAACTTTTAACATTAAGTTTTTGGAACAACAATATGAGTTTTTGTATTGTTTCACTACAATTTTATTAATTTTCAACAAAGATACAAATGATCTCTAATGCAAATGATTTTTCTCTTTAAGAATGATACAACTTTTAATGGTAGAAAGGTCGAAAGATATTGGGTGGTTGACAAAAAAACTTTTTTCGTTACCACAACTTACATGAAAGTTTAAAATAATAAAAAATGAGTTTAACTTACGATATGATTTGATGTGAAAAATTTAATATATTATTTAATTTAAATTTTGATAATTGAACATTTAACTTTCACATTAATTTGTAGAAAATGTTGACTTAACATGTCACCTGCACCGCTAATCTAGCTATACTATTTGTTACACCAAGTAGAACACTAAACATTTCTTTTATGACTATAAATCCATAATTATTTATTCCTATGCATGAAGCTCCATAACATATTTACTATTTGTAGCTTCCCAAGAGCCTTTCTTACAAGAACCACAATGACCTTGTGGACTTCCAAAGCTAGTAAACTGAATTTGTGAAATTACTTATCCACTTTGGCATGATAGTTCTAGTTGTGCACCTTCATGTACATTAGCACAAATAATTCTTGTTGTCACCGTTTAGAACTGAATATTTTGAGGATTACCACCTATTTCTTCAAATAACACCAATGTGTTCATGTCATCATTCAAGAATGACCTTGGTACATGGTACCACCTTTGCGATGGACTTCCATAATTGGTGTTGCACATTTTCTTTACATATTTTCCACGATAATCGCATGTGTCACTACATCCATTTGTAGATGTAAACCAAGAAGGCCAATAACGATCAATGCTATGTCCATTCACCCAAGCATGTCCTTTACCCAGGCCATGGAAGTCCACCACAATAGGGTTTATTCCATAAAGAGTTTTAAACTCTGCCTTATACCAAGTCATAGGTTTTCCAATAGGAATATGGGATGAATTAGTGTTCCATGATACACCAACATGTGATTTCAAATCATATAAACGTTTCCTCTCACCGTTCAAACCAACCTTATAAGACCAAAGGTTGGTTGACAAATCTACAGTAACGTTATTTTTCTAATCAATTGAACAGGGCCACCTGATATGCCCGTTTTTATCTCGGCAAACCATGCACCATAATTTGCAAGCCCGACGGTGGCGCTAAGCAAAGTTATAATGTTTGTTATATTCTTCAAAGAAACTTTCCTTTCATAATTGAATTTATTTCCCCATTGGCTAAATTGGTATCCTATATACTTCCTATTAGCATAACCATGAAGTGTATGGCCCATAGTATTCACAGGGAGTTTTGCATTGCTCCAAATTGACGTGTCATTAATATCAACACTAGTCATGTACCATAAATAGTCACTACCATCCAAGGTTAGTTCCTTTTGCTCCAAAAGCTGGTGTGCTTTAATATTTCCCTTTCCGTGCATTGGGTCTTTCTTTGGCTCCATTTTCCATTCCCAATTGAGCCCATTATAACTATTATCACCACTCATTATCACCATTATTGAGGTTTGACTGTTAACCTTTGCCGTATTAAAAATTTCTTTATTGCATTAAGAACAGTGACGGACCAGGCAGGAACAAAGTATTTACCATTATTTTGTAAGTCAACATTTGCATCTTTGGTAGTGTCGTTATTGCTCAGGTAACAAAATCTTGCATTAGTGGAATTAGCATATGTTGTAAGTGTGATCCTATTACCCAGATCCGTGTTGTTTATTGATATATAATTTGTAATAACATTTTTGCTTAATTTAATTGCTGCAAGAAGTTGCTTAAGATGTCCCAATTTTGGTTGATTCAAATTCCCATACTCATGGATCGATGCATCATAGTTATAAGATGTTGTCATATAAGGTCCACCTGCTGTGCGACCAAAGTTAGTTCCTCTATGGTACATGTAGTAATTGTTTAATACACCTCCATTTTGGAAAAAGCGTGCGACTGAGAAAGCTGAATCTTCAGCACTTCTATGGGGAACCCTTTCACCCCATTTTTAGAACCAACCAATCCAATTTTCAGTGAACATTTTAGGACATTTTAGGTTAATGGGTTTAAAATTATGACAATAGTATCCATTGCAAGTATTTATGATGGGTTGAGTAGTATCAGGTTGCTGTTACCTTGAAAAATCTTAAGGTATTACAACACGTGTATTAAATGAGGATATTGTCATAAGCTAAGGGTCATCCTTTAAAGTAGGGTTTTTTGGGAAATTGGAGCCAAAGTGTTTGAAATTTTTTATTTATTAAACTAGATTTAATGCTTAAAGGGAATGTCATGCCAAACTGTCGAAACTGAGCCAGGTCGACCAAAAGGAAATAAAAGAATATATGTTAAGAAATGGTCGAAATTGGTTTAGTCGACCAAAGGGTGAAAGACAAGGAAAATGGTCGAAATTGGTTTTAGTCAACCAAAAGGGTTTCTGGACTTAGAGGAATTGTTGTTGATTTTTAAATCTTGCCAAAGGGAAAGTGTCGAAGCGAGTCAGAAGCGGTTTACTTTCAGAAGCTAGGAGTGGGAAGATTTATATTTCAAAGTCATCAGCAGTTGCCAACGGTTTACAATTTGTTTAAGCGACAAACAGGTGACGGCATCCAGTGAAGCGGGTATCTCAAGATTTTAATATTGTCCGTAGATTTCATCTAGGCAGTTACATTGTAAATATTATAAATAAGCAGATTTAGCGTAGTTTTTTGGTGTGTTCACTTGTATGCTCAAATCACTTGTCAAAACACTGTCATTTCGAGCGTTAGTAAACAAAGAGTGAAGAAGTGCGTGATGTATGTGAATCACCACTTTTATTTCAATGTAAATCCTTTATTTTTCAATTATCTCTTTTGAATACTTTATTTTATTTCTATGTACCGTCGAACAAAGTCTTTACGTTATTTTCTACTTCGCGTAAACAATTCAATGCTCTCTGTCGGTCATAAGTCACTAGTCAGTTAGTTTAGTGAATATTATTTTCATATGAATACCTTCTGTCGGTCACGAGTCACCAGTTAGTCGATCGATTCATAGTGTGGAAAGCCGTTATACTTGTTCCCTTAGTCACAGAAAACCATTTCCCTTGATAAGGATTTCGATAGAATAAGTATAGTAATAAAACTCTTAGCACATGTATTAAGATCAACTGGTCGATCTTGCGAGTTACCCTTAGTTTTAGGACTTTGGGAGGACCAGTGGTTGTTTACCATTTTCCACAGTAAACAAATTTTCACGCCCAATGAGACACAGTGCTAAGAATTTTTCTTAAGTGTATGCAGCTTAGAAATGGAAACCAAAGAGTATAAAAAAACATCATCTAGGAAGCATATATTAAAAATGACAATTCCTGATAATCCACACGTAGACGAAATACAGTCACGTACTTTAACTACTATTGATCCAGTAGTTTCTCAAGTTGCACCTTTTCCTCCATACGGGTCAACTACAGTAGGTTCCGCACAAATTTCTCAGGCTCCACCGGGAAGCCCAAGGCCTGCAATGACTATGACCACCGTACCTAATGTGCCTCGTTTTGGTAATGTAGATCTTGTTTATGGAATACTATATTCCATGATTCCAGGATTCTAGTCAACGTCGAGTGCAGCAGTGGTGTCAGATAATGTTCAAAATTTGAACTCCCCTTTACAAGGATCTTCACCATGAGGAAATAATAGAGGCAACCAAATTAGAGGAATTCCTTCTCAACCAATAGTACCGCCTGTTGTACCCCAAAATTTGCCCTCCCATATTCTTCAAAGTTTTGACAAGCATCATCTCAATTTGCTCAAGTCTACTCAAGGGTTGCACAGTCAAACCATCCTCCTAAGCCAGTCAAAATTAGGGTTTTGGTTCTTGCAAGGAAGTTGAGGTTTTCAAGGGCTCAATCAAGTCCCATGTGCCTATATACATTGTCAAGCATCCATATGCCAAGTTTCAAGGCTCACAAGGTCAAGTTGCACAGTCAAAAGCCTCATTTGCTTCACAATCAACTGTAGGGGTAAAATGGTCATTCGGCAGTCAAAAGTCAAAATTTTTGGTCAACATCTTATTTTGAAGCCCCAATCATCATTTGATCAAGTCTTGATCATGATTCCACAAGAATGGCTCAAAAATCATCAAGATGCAAAAGTTTCCATTTTTGGACAGCTGAAAAGTCAACTGTAACTTGACCAAGGCATAACTTTTTCATGGTTCATCAGAAAAATCCCATCCAATGCTCATTTTGAAGGGGATGACATTTCCTACAACTCATCTTCACATTCCAAGTACAAGAAATGCTCTCACAAAAAGTTATCAATTTCAACATTATAGGTCATTTTTAAAAGTCAACAAAAAACATTTTTTTCTTTTAATAAATAATTAATTAATTAGTTAATTAGGACAAATTCAATTTCTTTCTCAAAAGGGTCAAAACCCTAAGACATCCCGATTCATTCTTTCGCGCGCATTTTAGTTTTAATTCTTTATTTTGATTATTTATGTAACTGTCTCCGGATATGTAATAGTTAATTAGGGTTTATCGCTTTATTTAAATTCTCGTACTTTATTTTTCAAAACGGATTTTTGTTTTTTGGAGATGTATAGACCCGCGCCTTGTAATAGTTAGAATTTATCTTTCCGCAATTTATTTTCCGCACTCCTAACTGTTAAAAAATGCATGAAAGAATGTATGAAAAATAAAACCAATCCGTAGCTCACAAATAACATGCACAAAGACAATTAACTGAAAAACAACACACAAGCACATGCCACTCCTAGGGTACGCCTCACTGGTTGCCTCGAACGTGGTCATCAAGTATAGGGTGTCTTAGAGGTCGCCCTTCTGTCTAAAAGATCCAGTTGCCTCGAAACGGTTGCCTCGGATAAAAAGGATCTAGGACGTTAGGGTTTCTTCTAAGGTGTCCTACCATTGCTTCGGTGACCACACATGTCCCGATAATCGAATTGACCCGAACAACCTCCAACGATGGTGCTACCTACCTCTCAATAGTGGGATAACACTATCTAAAGGACTCTTACACAGCCTAATTCCTTAGAGTAGGTAGATCTCATGGGTACTTGCTCTTTTCAAAACAAACAAAAACATCTTTTCACACTGACACTTTCAAAAAGTTTTCAAACAAATTTTTCTTACACTCTTGAGGACAGATACAAGAGTTACTTAGAAATTTTTCAAACGAAACTTTTTTCAAAACCCACACACATTTGAAAAGCAAACAAATTTTGAAAACATAAGAGCAAGTACCTAAGAGCCCGTGGATAACCACGGATAGAAAGGGTGCTAACACCTTCCCTTTCTATAAATCTACCTCCCGAACCGAGAAACATTCTCAAATAAGGAATTTTGCTGTGCTTTTGTCCTTTCCATGTTGGAGAACATAAAAGACGGTGGCGAATCTTGCTTACCACGACATTTCACGAAACCAGCTAAAAAACAGTCAGTTCTATTTCCACCGGTCACAGAACTGGCGACTCTGCTTGGGATATTAATAAAGTGGGGTGTACCTTAGGAATAGTTCATCATCATATTTTCAATTGCTTTCTTTGCTTGATTTAATATTGTGGGCCTGTTTTGGGAGTTTTATAGATCCTAACCCGGATCTGGGGGATACCTTTTAGAAAGTAGCAACAAACTGTGAGGGAACTGTGCGGGGTATACCGACACGGTTGAAGCAGTTTGCTACGTTGATGTGGCACTTTGGTGAGTACCGGTAACCCTTGAGTCAAGTCAAGGAGAGTACGGGGCCGCCACATGGTGTCGTGAAGCATCAACTGACCTTAGGAACCTTAATTGAACCATCCTAGCCTCTTTAGGGGTAGTGAGATGACTGACTTTGGTGCAGTCCGAAGTTGGTTGATACTCGATACTACACTCATTGAGGGTTGTTTTCTTGGAATATTTTGATCGCCAGTTCAGTGGCTAAATCAAAACAATGAACACAGAAAACAACCCAATGATATTGAGATCCTTAGAACCCGGTTACTTTTGATAGGACAGGTTTTTGAGCCCACCAACTTCAAGAGGGTAGTACCCCAAACTTCATGCTGGCCTGAACTCTAAGGGCTGTCTGGTGTGACTTGTGTGCCTTATCATGTTTGCTTTTTGTGAATACTTGTGGTGTGTCCTTATCATAACATCATAACATTATACAGCATCATAGGCATTTACTAACCACTTCAAGGGTTCAAATCTTCATCTTTATTCTTGTTTTATAGGACATGGAAACTATCCGTAGAAAGACAATTCAAATCAACCTTGTAAGGGTCCCTCCTCAGCTTAAGGAGCTTACATCCAGGATTCCCGAGAACTCTTCCTTCAGTGAAAGGCATGGTAGACTACTCAACTTGGTCAATACCAACATTGAAGAGGATATGGTGAAAGTGTTGTTCCAGTTCTTTGACCCTTTGCACCACTGTTTTACTTTCCCAGATTATCAATTGGTGCCTACTTTGGAGGAGTTTTCTCGGCTTCTGGGGATTCCTATCCTTAGTCAACTACCCTACAACGGTACGGAAAGGGAACCAAAACTTGAAGAGGTTGCTAAAGCATTATGCCTACAACCATCTGACATCGAGGGACATTGGGAAGTTAGAAGTGGTATCAAAGGATTCTTGGCAAAGTTCCTGTTTGAGAAGGCCCAAGAATGTTGGAATTCCCTTGACCTACAAGCCTTCGAAGAAGTTGTGGCACTCCTTGTCTATGGGTTGGTGTTGTTCCCAAATCCAGATCAGCTTATAGATATCAATGCTGTCAAGATCTTCATGTCCAGGAATCCTATACCTACATTGCTTGGGGACATCCTTCACTCATGTTACACTTGAACCATGAGAAAAAGAGGTGTCCTCATGTGCTGCACTCCTCTCCTGGCAAGGTGGTTTATTTCGCACCTTCCACAATCAGTTTTGAAG